TTGCCAGTTCAGCTTGACTGGGTGCAATGGGAGCTCTACCCATCCTCTCAGCTCGGATCATTGTTCTGGATGAATTAAAAAAAGAAAAGAAACGAAGGCCTGACAGCTCATCTGTCAGTTAAGTGCTGTACTCCTTTCTGTTTGAGTAGTAAATCATATTACAGGCAGAAGACAAAGAAAAATGGCAAATGGTTCGGGGAGCTTAAATATGTCTGAGATATGCAGCACAGAGAGCTCTTGATTCCCTTTTTTCCTTTATGGTTCAATATTTGAATGCAAATATTAAGAAAACCACTTCACCTCTACCACTTCATAAAGTTCCCCTAGTGAGTTCATGCCAATCTCATAATAGCTTTGAGATATTAAAGCCTTTGCTATATATGATTTATTGAATTGGGTTGTTGAAAAACACTTTTTCCAATTTGTGTTAAGTATGTAAGTTCAATGAGTCAGCTTGTTTGTCTTATGTACAATACATATTCAAAATAATCTGGCTTTCAGTAAAGTACTCAGGAATGAGGTTAGCATGGATTAATTGTATTTGAAGAAATAAAATGTCTCAAAAAATCATCAAAATATTTTAAAAAGACCTCCTACTCAGCCTCATGTTGAGAGATAGTACTGGATTTGGTTGCATATTTGCAGCCATGCTTTCTAAAATGAACCTGATTTCACAGGTAGCAGTGCATTGGAAAAAGCTCAGCATGGCAATTTTAACCTGGAGTTTGGCTGAAATACCTCAGCTGCATTTTAGCTGTATAAGTTAACATGGAAATAGTCAATTCCACCATTAAGTAATAATCAATACAGTTATTTCAGCGATAAGGAGCCTTTCCTGTGTGCATTGACCCAGGCTGCTTTGTCTGTCGATATCTGGTGTTTTAGAAGAGTGGAGTTTTACATGCACATCATATCAGCATGCTAGAGTGGAGTGCCCATATGAATGAAAGCATGTAATCAGCTCTTAGCATGTGGAGAAAATTAACTGTTTCCCTTTTCTCAGCCACAGCGTTTTACTGTAGGTGTACAGAGTACTGCTTAAGAAGGAAAATCACATTTTGAGATTTACACAATATTTAATTACACAATATTTAATTAACCTGTCATTGACATCTGCTCCTTCACTTGACCTCAATAATGTCTCCTTTTTTGGTTTAATAGCTGTTTAGTAACATCAGTATTTTTTGTTCATTTGTGTTTTTGACAGTGCACACACAGGGGCCACACCCTCACAGCATTGTTCCCCATCTGATCACGGAGAGATGGGAAAGGCTGACAGAGCCAGTACGGTAAATATGTGTTATCTTGCCAGATCAGTTTCACTCTGTATTCAGAGCACAGCCCAACTTGTCTTAAGTAGGCCTGGGAGACCTGTTCACTCCCACGGCTGTGCCGTGTCTCTCTCGGCTGATGAGTGCTTGGATCCTTCCTCACGCTGATGGCTGAGACCCGCCTCGGCGCTGCAGCTCAAGGTGACTCCAGCTGCACAGCACTGGCAATCAGGGCTGGGCTGGAGGACTACTCAAATATACACCTAGCCAGCTGAGGGCTGTGTCAAGAGGCCTGCTAATCAATTCTTAGCAAGTTTCCGGGGTACTTTAAAGAATGTGTGCTACTTGTCAAGTAACATTGCAGGAGTTCTCTGCACTCATTCCAAGAATACTGTGGCTGACTCAAAATACAAGGTCACTGAAACACAATTCTCAAGACGATGCTATCCAGCTGGTATCAACATTTGGCATGGATTACCATTACAGATCTTGTTAAAGAAAATGATCCTTTCACAGTTTTTTTCCTCAGTAATTAGATTTAAATGCAGTTTGTATAATCCATCTAGATCACAATGGGAATAAATTTTCAGTGAAGATTAATAGGTCTTCTCTTCATAATACATTAATAAAGTGTACCGTTATCACTCTGAGTGCAACAAATGCCCTCCCATAAGTACAGTTAATTAGATACCGGTAGTTTACTGCTGGGAGGTTAAGTTACCATAAAATTGTTTTACCTATATTGAAAGGATAAAAGCCACATAACTCCTTGGTACAGTACAGAATACTTTGTGTAAACGTACTTTCTTAGAAGCCATGATGCATGTATTTAATAGGCAGTTGTAATATGAATAGCATCATCTATTAATTGACACATGCTTTACTTGCAGATGTAAAGACTAACAATACCTCCATAGATCAAATGTTTCAAAATTCCATAGCAGACTTAAAACTCAGGAAGTACATTCTATGTTCCTTTCAACTGTATGCAGTGAAATTCTTCACACAAATGCAGTATATAAATGGTGTATACTGACAGAGAACTGTACAGCAAGATTCTATTTTTTGACACGGGGTGCTATCAACAGATGTTTCTGGGGTGTTAAGTCCATGAGAAAAGAAAGGTTCATGTCCTCCCTGATGTTTTGCCCTTGTTCTGAAACCAATATAAGTGTTAGCTGGACAGCCTGACCACCAGCTGCTCCATGCACACCTACCTGCTCATTAAAGCCAGTGTGAGCCCCCAATTGCCACACAAATATGTAAAGCTGGACTCCTACCCTACTATTTGGAACTTTGTATATGATACTAAGTAAAAAAATTTTCACATTCCCCGCTTACTGTTTCAACCTAGAAAGTAGAAACGCACAGTGTGCATTTTCAGCTACACGTTGATCATTTGAACCAGTCTGAGAGGCAAAAAGGAATGGAGAAATGAGTGATTTTTTTCTGACTCATCCTGCTGGCATTTTCCAGTGCTGAGAGAACACTGGCTCCCCAGCTAAGGAGCAGCACTGCCTTAATTAGTGAAAGCAAATGCTTTAATGGAGTCACAAACAGACTTGTAAATTATGCAGGGGAAATTAATACAAGCAAATCTGCCAATGCTGTAGACTAACACTAACCTAAAATACATGTTTTTTTAAACGCTTGAGGATTTGTCCCCGACCTCTGGTTTTGATATGAAGTCAATAAACAAACATCGGATCTTTGATTACAGACAAACGTCTTCTCTTTCTATTTTTCTTGTTTTTTTTTTTTTTTTTCTCATCTCAGCATGTCGGACAGCTAAATCCGTTCCAAATTTATTTGCCCAGTGTGCCCCAGCAAGCTCAATTTGAGACTCCCCTGGTTTTAATTATCCTTTCCTACAGTATAATCACCTGACTGTGTTGCTGTGGTGTACTGCACCTGTGAAGGTGTGTGGAGAAAGGAAATCAGATCACAATCCATCTGTAAAAAATAGAGAAATACCTAAACTCTCTGTTCAACTAACAATCCCTTCAGGAATCAAGATCGTACTTCTACGAAAGTTACTTCACACTAAATTGTCACATATTAATGTCATCAGTTTTAAAATTGCAACAAACTGCACTACTGACCTCTATGATGTCTGAAACAATAACCTCGACAAGCACAGTATAATATACTGCATACTAGGCAATGCCCATTTTTAAACTAAGGGCATCTATATACATTTGCGTGCGTGTGCATGTGTGTGTGTGTGTGTGTGTGTGTGTGTGTGTGTGAGAGAGAGAGAGAGAGAGAGAGTGTGTGTGTGTGTTGTGTGTTTGCGTGTGAGTGTGTATTTTCATATTGTGTGTTACTAAAACAGGTTTAAATACTGAAGTCAATGCACATGTTTGTTCAGACATTATCCCCATGAGAAGTGGGTGAAAGAGAGCTGATTCTTTTTGAATAATAAACTACAGGAGGTGGTGCTGCAGCGCTACCTGGAGAAAAATCAGGAGGGAATTCATGCAATACAGCCAGAAAAAAATTGCCCATTAAACCGCAAGGCTTATTAACTGGAGACAGGCCTATTGTTTTGAACTGAAATGTATTAATGAGGAAAGGGTTCAATGGCGTTGAATGCGGGCTTTACCTTTTAATCTTACCAAGAACAGGTGTATAATTATGTGGATCACATTTTAAAGTGCCCTTTTATGAACACCTCTTTGCAACATGAACTCTAGCTGTGTCAAGCCCTCAGGAATGACCTCACTCTGCAGAGTCCTGCTTTTAAAATCTCATCATCAGACAAAAAGCAGTCTTACACTTCTTTTCTAAATATTCAGCATGCATTTCTTCTCTACATCCCAAAGAAACAAAACACCACTCGCTAGCCATTTATTGCTCATCTGTTGATTTACTTATTTTTCTCTATAGCTTGTAAAGGTTATTATGGTGCATCAGATCTAATTTATTGAAGTGTACTATCACACCGCTTACATCAAAGAATCAGAAAGCAAAGCTGGGCTCATTCTTTGAAAATGCATTATGCAGTGGTCGGGTAAAACATTAATGACGCTGATATCTTTGAATTGCATTGTTGCTGTTGCGCTTGCAGATACTGTTGTGTCAGGAAAGAGATGTCCTTATACAGGAGGAAACTGTGTAAGGAAACTGCTGCCAATGACATCATTTAATAGATTACAGAATATTATTATTTTTTTAATACTAAAAGAACATGCAATTTCATTGTTAATTTCCCAAAGGACAATATATGAAGAGGGAATAAAGATCAACAGTTATTACAAAGAACAAAATTATGATTTTGTCAGTTATTTACTCATTCATTTCACATGTTCCACGTGTGAATTTACACAAAAGCTACATACTTAACTCAAAAGATGCAAGCAACATACACCTCGAATACAGAGTATGGTTAATAACAGGAATTAATGATTCATGGGTGAACTCAAATTTTCAAGTGATATAAGGTCTCAAATCAATTTTATAGACCCAAGCCCTGAATGTTACAGGATGATCATGAGGTATAAGTAATTATTACAGAACATGAGAAATTCAAAGGAGATATTGTGAAGGATTAAGAATAACCATGAGTCGTAACATTGAGCCATATGAATGATTCATTCAGTTGCTTAGCAAACGCTGTTATCCAGAGAGGCTTTTATATGTTACATTTTTCACAAGTTATCCATGTATAAAGTGGGTATTTACTGAGGCAATTCTTGGCTGAGTACCTTGCCCGGAGGTACAATACCAGGGCCATGGCAGGGAGATCGAACCAGCAACCTTGGGGTCACTAACCCTGCTCCCTACCACTATACCACACTGCTTCATTGCTGTTGCTTGTAAAAAAGGTTGAATGGGAATACAATGAAACTATACAGTATGTGTACATGAATCTTTCCCCTTCCATTTCTCCAACCCCGCCAAGCTCCTTGCTGTACCAATCTCCCATCTACTGCCAGCTCATCCTGAAACAGCAGGGCAGGAGGAAAAAAGGGAAATAAATAAGCTCTCAGGTTTCTAGCGCCCAAGGCAGGAACAGAGACATCAATTAATACGTATTCAAGCTTCACAGAGAAAAAAAAACAGCCAGAAGAACTAGCCAGACAGAAGAAATAATGGAATCCTCCCGCTGCCATCTGCATGGTTGCAATAAACAGACCCGAGTCTCAGTCACCCTACCTTGTCAAAAAAACCGCCATACGGCTCACATCAAAGCTCCTCAGTGTAACTTCTCCACCAGCTGTTTATGCCGTTGCCACTGGCAATCAACCTTCAACTGGTACCTCTAATACACAGCCCCCACCCCCCCCCCCCTTCAGCGACAAAGCATGAGTCATTTCCATTTTTTTTCTACAACTGTGACGGCAAATAAAAGAATAAATACCTCACCGAGGCAACTCAGGGCTGGCAGATGCGTAAGAATTCTTTGGTTGTGATTGCAAATGAGCCTCAAAGCTTTAGGTTTCTGATGAAAAAAAGCACAGAATTCTGTTTAGGTTTTGTGATGAAATCGCTGTACCAGTCAGACTTAAGTCACTGGACAGCCCAACAGTCATGCTGATAGTAATTTCCAAGTGCCCTGTGCTGATTTCCTGATTCATTTATCATTACCTTTTTCCTTCTCAGTTTCCCCATCAAATTGATGATTGAACTGCCAACATGGGGACAGTTTTGTCTTGCATTATTTTTTTATTTCTCATTATTACAAACTGACCAGTAGCAAAATAGTTATCTGTCAGCTATCTAGGTGACTACACAGACACACAGATATTAAACATTGATTATTTTGAATTCCTGGAATAGAGTGAAAGACACTCCACCGCTGTGTCACAAGCAAACCCAAGTCACATCTGCAGATGGAGCTGTACACGTGTAACTTGAGATGCCATGGTATCCCTGGGCTTGCCTACAGTATTGGCTATTCACATTCTGATTGCTCCATTCATTATCCTTTCCCTCCAAAAACAATGTGCAACAACGAAGTAAAACAAACTTTATGATTTCTTTTTTTTTCATATCTGTTTGGAGGATATGATTTTTAACGATTCTATGGCCTTTAAACACATTCATCCCATGACTTCCTATGACCACTCTGCCTACAGAGTAACAATTACACAGCTGTGTCTATTTTAAGCCCCTGGGAACATCTTTACCACCCTTTTACACATGTTTTATTGAACTTCACTGAGCTGAAGTGCATTTAAAAATAGCCAGCCGGGGCTCAGTCAGTAAAGGCACTCACCACTAGCGAAAGTTGAGTCCTATCACCCAGATGTTCACTTGCTCGAAGGTAGGCTAATCGACTACCACCCCAGGAGTGCATGGTAATGCTATGTGACTGGCTTCATCTTGACGTGGGGCTGGGGGGAGGGGAAGGTATATCAGTTGTCTTATCCCACATAAGTACCTCCTAGAAACTCATCAGGCTCCTATCATAAGTGTATGTTCCTATAGTAACTTGTCATCTATGCCAATGCACTATTTGGAGCTGTCTTTCCTGTAGTGTGCCATGGGAACCATATGTAAAATTGACTTTGTTGACTACGGGCACACAAGAGGATTGCACATATTTTGCCTCAGCACTCCTTGTGCGGGTGCTGAAAGCACAGATTTCAATATCCGGATTCTGTCAGTCAACCTTTCAGTCCCTACTGATCAATAGATCTTAATATAACCAATGTTTTCACTAGCTTTACTTTTAACTTTTTAACCAGAACATATTACTTTATTATTACTTATAATTCTTTTTATTATTATCTTTTCTTCTTTTTATACTAAATTTAACATACTTGAAAAAATCTAATACTACCTAATGTATATGTCCCTATATAACAGAAATGCATGTAAAATCCTACATTTTGTCTGATATTGTATATACCACAGTTTTACAAGAGCAGAAATTCTTGTCTGTCATGCATGTCTTACAATTCTGTGTTGAGCCAACTGAAGCCCCATAGTCCAGCTGAACAGTAGGTAGTAACAAAAGCTTGGTAGGCTCAGTAATTGTGAGAGAACAAAACAAAAAAGAGCATCATCATGAGAAAAACCATAACTGATTTTTGCATTTGATATGCATTAAGGCTATACAGTTTGTCAAGTTACATTCTGATACTGTAATCAGTTTTGGGAGGCAGGGTGCTGATTTGGAGGTGGTATAATTTTGTGTAAACTGTTTTTCTTTTTTTTTCTTGAATAGGACAGTTTGGATCTAGTGTGCTGAACATTACTTAGGATCAGTACAGCAGTTTGATATTTTTTTTATTTTTATCAAACCCTTCACTTTACAGGTTTCCTCAATGATGTTGCCATTGCTAAAACCTGCTGTGTCCTATCCTGGCATTTTAAAACAAGTTTCAGATGTAAAAAGTACTGGAGTACCATTTGTAAGTAAGTAGTTAAATGCACCGATATACATTATAGTGAGTATGGTAAAATGTGCAAACAGCAAGGGCTAAATCTACTGTTTATTGTATAGCTACTGTGCATGCATGCTTACGTTCCAAATATGCAGTGGGAGTGGCAGGTCTTAGTACTGATCAATAACACGACTAGCGATTTTTTACGGAGACCCAAGAGAACCACCGAATGATGTCACATCCGTTGTGGAGGTCTCTACACCTCCCTTGCAACCCCCCGATACCTCTCCCATCCAGCTGAAACTTTTCGGCTGATAGTGTCGGTCGCCGTATTCTGTATTGCCTGCACGCAAGAGCCCTAGGAGCGGTGTAATGAATGTGGATCTATCCGTCTTGTTCCATTGGGGCGCTTTAATCGCCGGGCATATTCTAGTAGCAAGACTGACACGGTCCCGCAGTGAAGGCTGCGCGTGAGTAAGCGACTAAAGTGCAACTGCTTTCCAGAATGCAGGCACTGTTCAGAGTCCTGAATCCTTTGCTTTTGCTGATGCTCTTCGGATTATATCCGTCAATGGTGAGTTTTGTCCGGTCATTTACGAGCTTGGAACGTTCGTTTGAATGATCGAGCATGTCTGGCAATTTTAAACGAAAGTAAACTGAGAACGAGTGCCCCTGACTGATCGATCAAAGTAACAGGCACAAAGTAAGAAGCGATAACGCGTGTCAAGGTGGTGTATTTTTTGTTGCTTGTCGGGTTTCCACCCATGTAGTTTTGTTCCTCGATGTTTTCTGAAAGCCATAACATTAAGAGCATGGTCGAATAAATCCATTCTGAGGAATAAATGAAATGCGTGGATAATGCGTAGTGTGTGCAAATGTAACATATAATGTAATAACGTAATATCTAATACCTGCACAAATATAATAAAAATAAAAATAGTGCCATCAGAACCATTCCTTTTAAGTTCAAACATCGAGACCTAAACTTAGGCTACATGGCGTTGCTTTTGTTGAGGAATTGATATTTGTGTGTCATTATTCCCGAAGTTAAAAAAGGATGACTCCTTTATCAGTTATAAAGGCATGTATATTGCACGTTAAGGTGCGCCTGTTTGTGTGTGCATATTTTTATTTCGGATATTTTCATCATTTTTTCACCATCATTTCATTCAAAAGACACTACTTACTATTATTTTTATTAATGGAAATATGGAAATATAGGTAAAGACTAGACTATATGTGATCCTCACGGGAGTGGTGTCTCCACTAGTTTCGTTTGGTCATTTTCCTCTTCGCTTTGGTAGTCCTTCTGTTTCCCCAGAGATGGCAAGGAATTTTGAAAGTAAGCAGTAAAAAACCATAGCCCAACTGGTTTTAACAGTGCGCAATATTAAATGTATATAAAACTTATCTAGAGAATTATTAAATAGATCATACATTCTTGTATATTGTGGCTGATGCTCGGGTGTATTTGTTCCGCTGTCTGGCTTTCGTGATGAACAAGCAATTATTATATTTCCTCGTGCTATGGAACTGTTCATTTGGTGGTTCTGAAAAAAATATATATTTTAACAGTAGGGGGCGTGTGCGCTCTGACTGATAAAGTGTACGTTAAGAACATGAATGCTGCTAGACCAATTTTCTGCAGTGATTTATAGTTTCGTTACATCAACATGGTTAATTCCACATTGTTTTGCATGCATGATAATTTTATTAAGGCACATTTTATTTATTTAGTTTATAATTCCTATTTCTTGTTCACTAGAAACTCGAATTTAATGACAATGTGTCCTTGTCATTTCTGTTCTTGTAATGAATATAATGAATGATGTCGGTATAATGTCGAAGAATCAGATGGCAGCATTTTCAGAGAACCAAGCCCTAGAATATGTGACCCTTCTTACTCAAACCATAAATACCATTGCTCCTTTGTGAACTTACATTGAGTAATCATAACGTCTGACGACTTCACTCGTATTCATCAACACCATTATGGAAAAGATGTACCGTGAATGAGGGAATAAAAGGAACAGCAGAACACGTTCATTCTGTCCACCAACGAATAAGACACTGTTTTGTGCTTCATGTTTCAAACTCCCCTTTTCAATTACAGATTGGGAGGGCAGATTGTCTGATGAGAGATGCTGTAGATTTTCTCTTTCCCCTGCTGTCCTCAGCCTCTTGCATTCCAGTTTGCCTGTTATCCCTCATCCACATTTTCAGGGCTTCTTTTTTTTGGAAGCTGTGGATATGATTTTACTCCTGTGAGCCAAATGCATTTTTCTGCTGGGTGCCACCCAATTCTTCAAGGAATCATGCAGAGAAAGTCTTGCCTTGTCTCTTAACTTTCACAAATCACAATTTTAAAGGGTCTTGGGCTGGGTTCACACAGAGGAGAGCTAATGTTGGCACTAGCTGTGAGAGTAAGATTAAGCGGTCTCCAACTGCTAACAGTGGACAGCAATAAC